TTCTAAGCACCCTTCCCTGTCATCACACACACCTCCCAGACCGAGAGTTCCAATAACTATCGCCTACACTGGCGTTCTGTTTGGGCTCTTAGCGCGTTCGTCGAGTTCATTTTCTCCTGGCGTTATCGTAAAGCTAACAATTGGAGCTTTCGTCTTGTTTGTGCAGGCTTTTGGCGCAACTTGCTCCCGTATCGCACTGGTCGAATTTATTGGGTTTTCATTGTCTCAGCGTGTGTGTGTGTGTGAGTGAGTTAGTGAGTCAACTCTTATCTTGACCATTACGAACAGTTAACACCGCTCACGACTTGCTCACCCTGGCTCACACCCGGCGCCTGTCTGCCTGCGCAACCCAGCATCAGTTTAGTTTAGTTTTGGTAAGAATTTTACGGCACTTGCAACACAATCAAGTCATATAAGTGCCGAAGATTAGAAGTGTGACAAGAGAGTAACAAACACAACAAAGAAGGAGGAGAGGAGAGATACGGATGATAGATGATCGATGGGAAAGAAGTAGCAATTCAATCTCACCAGGGCACCCTCCAACCATCTTCGAACCAACCATGAGATTTTGCCATTTCCTTACTGCTGAGAACGGAGTAGTTATCAAGTTATCAAGAAGTCCGAAAAAGTCCTCTATTACCCTCCACCGTCAGCAGCTTCACAGTCAGGTACCTCCACAAACATATTGCCCTTATACCCAGTGCACATTGCCAATCAAATCCAGTTTTGGTGAGTCGGTCCAGCCAGGTTTTTCTCCTTGAAGGGACAAAGACTACCGTCGTGGAACAATTCGACGGAATTCGACCGATTCGATCAAGACCTTCAAGAACAAACTCGTTTGTCTTTCAAGGTCACAAGTCGAACAATTGGTTGTGCACGGCCAATAAATATCATGGCTTAAAATCTCCGAGACATACTTTGCGCGCTGAATATAGTAATGGACAGTGTAGATTTGGAGAGGCTGATAGATCTAGAAAGAGTTTTGGCGGCGAGAGGTAGAGAGAGAGGAGGGGGTG